CAAAGTTGAATTGAAAAATAATAAAATAGTTTTAATTAAGAAAGGACTTGTATCGCTGAAGTTTTTTTGGAAAGAATTTCTACGGAAAATTAACCAACGACCAGAGACGAAACACTACGTAAACAATTTTGTGCTTTATTATTAATTTTTGTAATAATTATTCCAATTGCAGCACAAGTTTCGAGATTACACACAAGCAGGTATGTAAATATATAAACGTCACCGGGGTTGTATTGATAAGCTTTCAAGGCTTGGGCTTAGTGCGTAACAATTTGAGGGACTTGGAAAAAATACAATAAAATAAAATTTCAAAATAAATTTAATTTTTTTTTCTCCTACAATGCGTCCTTCCAGTTGTTGGGCTTTAATATACCTTCCTGGTGAGTCATTCGAGAAGAAAGGGGCGCATATAATATTGTAAGCTTAAGGCGCCAGTTAACCCTAAATATCACATACAACATATTAGTATCAACTTGTAAGCTCGAGAATACTTAATACAAATTATCATGTTTCACGTGCTGATAAACATACTTCAGTTGTATAGGAAGGAGTTACAGAGTGAGTGTGCTTGGCTAGACACGTAGATTTTAACAATGAGAGGCTGAAAATATAAGAAGCTGCTAAAAGCACCTCAACCTCGTGAGTTCTGGGGGCATGCTCTCCAGAAAATTAATATAATTTACAGTTGCTTTATAAGTCAAATATGTAAAATAAAGGGTGCTATAGCACCCCCGTTTCCGACGCCTCTGTGCTTGGAGGTTTCCAAAAAATGCCAAACATAATCTTTTATTTTCAGAAAAGGTTAACTGTCCAATAACTGCTTTTTTGTTTGACTGAGAACAAAATAAAAACTTAAAAAGGACTCTTTTCATTATAAAAGTTTGAAGAAAGTCCAAAAATAAAATGACTGTCTAATTAATATATGCTTATCTTTAAAAAAAATCCTATTTCATTTAATTGGTAAAATCATAAAAAGTTATTCAACTTAACGATCATCAATCAGATAATAATGATTATGCCATAAAAAACTTACTTAGTGAGAAGTACAAGTAAAATGGGGAACATTAGTATAATACTTGTGTTTTAAGCTGAATATTTCTTAAATAATTTATTGCAAAGATTCAGCTTTGATATTATGTGAAAACAACGAGATCTGAAAGTAAGAGATCACCAAACGACAGTGTACATTCAAGACACGATAGCAAGGCCACGGGGACTTTGAACCAAACTTGTTCTCGTGGGACACGTATAGTATTACAGTTTGAAAACGAAGGACAGCCACTAGTCGCTTGTTTGATGTTCTTCAAGGTGGTTCGTTGTGAGAGGATCGAGCGTCTAATCGCACCAACAAATAACTGGAAAATTTCTATAACTAAAATACAAAGTTTTTGGTTTATTAAATTTGTAAACGAGTGATAGACAATGACGTTTCTTCAGCTACTAGTTCTTAGCTGTGTTTCTGGAGTTCTCGTATCTTCAATGACAACACCAAGAAAAGGTCATCTGGCAACAAAAGTCCGTTTCTCTCACCCTGACTCTAGCATTCCACGTTTAAATATGATTGGTACTTTGCCCACAGTCCGAGAAATGACTTTAGCCTTCTGGGTGAAATTGCATCAATTTGATGAATATTCAAACACTGTCTTTTCGTACGCTCATCCCAGCGACGATAACGAATTAGCCATTTGGTTTGAAATTAAAGAAGTTCCACACATAGCAATTCAAATTCATTCTGGAGAGGGTCACCATGGTTATATACCCTGCCCAAAAATTGTTGCAAGACAGTGGCAACACATAACATTGACATGGTCAACACAAAGTGGCACAACCAATGCTTATCTAAATGGGCACCAATGCACTAACACCACAATCACCATCTCCAGAGGCCTAGAGCTCAGGTCAGGAGGACTGGTTGTATTGGGTGCTGACCAAGATTCAGTGGGAGGAGGATTCGTAGTTAAAGAAACATTGGAAGGTGAGTTAACAGACCTGCATATGTGGGACGAAGCTTTGGATGAAGAACAGATCTCCATTATTCCTTCTTCCACGTGCACAGAAGGTGATTTAGAATTCCATGGAAACCTAATAGACTGGTCACGAAGTGCTTTTAGGGCCTTTGATGGCGTGTCTTTCCATCCAACCACTCTGTGTCTCAGACAATAAGTGTTTCTCAGACAAACAATAATACACATTCTTTACTGAAATGGTAAATTTTCTCGATAAACTACTTGAACTGTTGAAATATTTCTGCTATAAGTTTAACAGAAAGGTTACACACTAAGAAAGTTTAACCCTTTTTGGCCAGCAGTTAGATAACTATAAACACTAGCTTGAACCCTATAATATGAAACTGCTCTTAGTTTCCTTAAAGAAATGCTGAATCCGTGTCAAAATGGAAGCCTAACAACTTTAGTAATGTTTATGTTTACTATAAGGTGTTTACAACATGTCCCTGAATGTGATAAAAATAATGAAATCTTCAAATGATCTATATCAGGTCAATAAAAGTTTCGGCATATACTTTTGTTATCTTTAAATGAATGGTAAGTACAGTTAGGACAAAATTACAAGCAGTTACTGATGAATAAATAAGTTTCTCATAAATCAAACAAGTTTGCTACCTGCAACTGTAAGTAATAATATTGATCAGAATGTTATATTTCTTGAACTTACCAGTACAATATTGTCATTAAAAACAGGGCTGATACTTTGACAGAAGTGTACAATACAATAAGTGTAAAATTAGTGGAACAATACTGTTGAAAAACAGGTTTAAAATATCAATCCCAACATTATGTTTTTTGAACAGTGCAAAATCTCTTGGATACGTCAATGCTTGGCTCTAATTATTAAGTAATATAATAATTTCAAGGTACATTAATATTATGACACCAATATTCAAACAGTTTTAAAGTTGAATTTAATTATATACGAAACTGACATAAGAAACAAGTTTCATAACATTTCAGTATTTAACTAAAAATCCATTAACTTTCAAGTTATGAGAGGCGTCTCCTCTTTACCTCATCCTTGTATCTTGTAGGGAGATACGAAAACATGTTAGGCTTAGAATTATAGCATAAGCAGTATGAATAAATTCCCATGTGCAAGTTATCGAACTTCAACCCCTCCTCATTCTCTATAACCTGATGCGTATGCCGTGGTCAGTGAACTCAAAAGAACAAATGAAATTGCAAACAAACAAACAAAAAATCTTAAAAAATTTCACACAATGACTGTAAAGAACAATATTTTCCTGTATGTCTCTTTACAATCACATCACAATACATTAATACACTACAGGATCTCTACCAGCCTACTCTCAACTTGAAATTCTTTTAGGCAGGATTAGAGTATATTAATCTATGAAACTTTGGGCATGGGCAAATATATCAGTCGAAAGAGTTTGATCTCCCAAGTCTAGGAGATGACGGAGCTATAAGCTAAATATTTTTACTTGGAAAAAAAAAACCAAACAAACTCAGAGACATTCTATGAGCCAAGGCTAAAAAATGTATTGTTATTTAAAACAGCTAACTCAGTTAATTATATAAACCAGGAAAGTGTAGATACTGGTATTATATTGATGAGACAGCTAATTGTTATACACTGATTAGGATAAGATGCCATACATTTTACCTTTCCCTCCTATTGATTTTTCTTTTCCTTCAAATACCTAGACGTTTGTACGAAATTAGATTAAAAGAGACTTAATTCAGCCTTCAAAAGTTTAAGGCTTTTTTTTATAATTCATTCTTAAGTGCTTTATTAGGTTAAACTTTTTGTCAACACCTTTAGTGTTATGTGATAAAAGTTTTTTTGAAAACGACTACGGAACAAAACAAGAACAATTCGATTATGTTATCTGAATAATCTTTAAAATGTTAAGTAACTTTAAAAGGCTACGATTAACTTCTCTTTTTTTATGGTGCCAAAACTCAATACTGAAATCAACAACCTGTCCAAAAATAAATAATGCCAGACACCATTTTAATTTTCATGGAAGCTTCCAATAAACAATAGCTGTATGTTTTGAATAATCTTATATTTACACAATGGATAACTAGTAAACAGTCGTATAGAAAATATACACAAATAGAGAAATGAAAACAGATAAAGCTAAACGAGTAACACATTAATATCAAGATGGTTAACCCACATCTAATATTGTAGTATTCAGGTTCCTTATTTGGTTGAAAATCCTCACACACGTGTATTCAGTGGATGAACTACTTGAAATTCATATTTAACATTTAATTAAAAGGTTTAAAGTTTTAAGGTAAACCAAAATTTAACAAATAATTCACTACAGAAAAGTTCTTAGAAGCTATTTGACTGAAAAGCCGATCTACTGGAACAAACTTCCTGAACAGACTTGGGTGATAAACAATGATTCCTGGTCAGTCATATTTTGCTGAAATACTGGATTCAGTAGCGTTGATTTTTTAGTCGACATGTTCACAAAAGGTGTTATTACACTTGTTATTCTTAAATGCTTTCCAAAACTAAAATAAAACTTAGGACAGGATTTGAAGTTATCAAGTTTTGTTTTCTGTGTTATATTAGCACACAGTGTGAGGTAATCTTGTTTTGTGTGTTGTATTATATTACAATACAGTGTGATGTTATGATAGTAGTTAGTGTTTAAGTTTCAAACATGTGATTATAGTTTGTTGTTTAAGTTTCAAACATATTATATTAGTTTATTTTTTAAGTTTCAAACATATGCTAATAATTTGTTGTTTTTTTTTATAACACGTAACACAAAACTTGATAACTTCACATCCTGTCCTAATATAGCACGTAACATAAAACTTGATAACTTCAAATCCTGTCCTAATATAACACAGAAAACAAAACTTGATAACTTCACATCCTGTCCTAATATAGCACGTAACACAAAAAAACACTATCTTACTTCATATCATATCCTAACACAAGATGATACACAAAACAACACTGTATTATTGT